ACAATTTATTTTAGTGTCATTTTAAACACCTAAAGGCCCATATGAAGTCACTACTTTTCTCTTTAACTTTTCCTCTCTGTCTCTTTCTTTCTCAATCTCCTTCTCTTTCTCTCTCTCTGCCTTCCTCTTCCTCTCCTTCCCAGCCCCCTCTCTCACACATACACACACAGTCCCAATAATTTGCAATTGAACTTTAGGATCCATGCATAAGACATTTTTTTTGAGACAGGGTCTCTCTGTTGCTCAGGCTAGAGTGCAGTGGCATCATCATAGCTTGCTGCAACCTCAAACTCCTGGGCTTAAGCGATCCTCCCTCAGCCTCCTGAATAGCTGGTATAACAGGCGTGCACCACCATGGCTGGCTGATTTTTCTGGTTATGGTAGAAATGAGGTCTTGCTATGTTTCTCAGGCTACTCCCAATCTCCTGGCCTCAGGAGGAGGCCTTGGCCTCCCAAAGGCTAGGACTACAGGCATGAGCTACTACACCCAGCCCAACATTTTATATCTATCTCTACATACACATATTCAAAAAATAAATATTTAAAATAGACAACTTAGTGATACAACTTAATGACAACTTAGTGAGACAACTTAGTGACTCCTAATTCTTATGCCTTTTCTCCAAGCAAATGGGATCCTTATGTTATGTCTTCATGGATGTCAATGATGTTGAAGAAACAAGAATGAGGACAGAGCCCAGTAGCATAACACTAAAGGCATCCATATGTTAATCCATCAATTAATCAGCTCTCTTTGCATAAGTGCATTCAACCAGTCATTAACCCAACCAATTGCACCCTTCTAATCCACAAGAATATGGCCTTCCTGAAATCAGGGTTTTGAAATGATTGATGTTTATTGAGTATAACTATGTTCCAGGTGCTTTCACACACTTTATTTTAGTTACAACTTCCAATACCTATCACCCCTTTTTTTATAGATAATAAAACCATCAGTCGGAAAGTCACACAAGTAGTGATTGCCAGAGCAGGGACATGAACTCAGGTCCTACGGACTCCAAGTTCATGGTCATTAGTACACATTATACTGGGATCTACTCAAAAAAGAAACCACGCATAACTTAATTTGTGCTGGCTTCTACTAATCACCACCTGCTCTCCTCTCCCAAATATCTATTGAATTAATCCCTTGATTAGAGATTGCTAACTAGAGGATCATAACAAATCAAGGGAGTTCAAGAGTTGACTTGTATGAACTCTCTAAAAGTCTAAATAAAATGCTATATGTTGTGTATTGAGCATTTTTTTGGAGAAGAGTAGTATGCATCCGAATCTAAAAAGAATCATGGTCTCAAACAGCTTAAGAACAACTTAAAGTTTAAATAACTCCCTCTAAAACTCAATCATCCTTCACCTCTTGGTCTGGAGTTTCAGAACACACATATTTCTTTCTTTAAAAAATCAAAACTGCATTTTTTTAAATCTCTAGCATCCCAAAGTCTCCATTACTCTCTAGAAAGCCCTTACAGCTGTGGCCCCAACCTCTGGTCTATGGATCTGTACCTGTTGGTGGCCTGTTGGGCTCCCCGAACTGCCAGACCCCACATCTGTATTTGCAGCTGCTCCCCATTACTCACATCACTGCCTGAGCTCCGCCTCCTGTCAGATCAGTGGCAGCTTTAGATTCTCTATATGAGCTTGAAACCTATAGCGAACTGCGCGTGGGAGGGATCTGAGTTGCATGCTCCTTATGAGAATCTGATGCCTGGTGATCCGGGCTGGAGCTGGCGCTGTGGTGCTGGCGCTGGGGAGTGGCTGCAAAGGTAATAAATGTGGTGCGCTTGAATCTTTCTGAGGCCATCCCCCAGCCCACCTCCCCATTCTGTGGAAGGATTGTCTTCCATGAAGCCGGTGCCTGGTACCAAAAATATTGGGGACAGGTGCCTTATAGGCCTCAACCACTGGTCCACTCTGAGACTCTAGATGTCTTCGCTAGGGGCAGCTTATCAAAAGATTGTTAGAAGCCCACCTACCCAGGCCTTTTGTACACTTGTCCCATGCCAGGTTCCAGCCTGAAGAGGATTCCTTTGCCTTCACGAAGTCAACAGAGGCAAAATTGCAAAAGGCTTTTCTTGCAGCTCTTCCTGGCCCTTGGTAAGGTTGGGATAAATGGAAGCAAAAGGAGAAGCCCACCAGTTGAGATGTGGATTAGAGAGGAAGCTGGAAGACCTAGAGATTTGGAGCACTATTGCAAATATCCAGAAAGTATAACCCTTCCCTTTGCTAAATAAGTAGAAGACCATGCCTGTCCTGATAATCATGGTTGATCTTTATTCTTTACCATACTATATTATAGGTGATAATTTCCTGATAGCTTTTGTATCTCTATCATCTAATTCAATGCTTGAATGTAATAGTCATTCACACAAGAATTGCACGAGAATTCATTGAGCATCACATCTGGGTCTCTAGAGCACTAGGCTCTAAAGATATTAAGACAAAAAGAGTTGATCCCTACAGATCAATGGGAACAGACAGGTAAAGAGATAGTTATAACAAAGAATGGTTAAGTGGTCTGATAGCAGGAATAAAGGAAGCTATGGGAGAATTTGGGAGGGCCACCTAATCCATTCTAGAGGATGGGGAGCAGATGGTCTGGGTACTTTCCAAGAGGAAGGGGCTTTCAGCTGAGACTTTAAAGAAAAATAGAAGTTAAGCACAGACCTAGTAGAAGTATAGGAGCAAAGTTATGTCTAGCAAATAGCTTAACATGCCTAAATTTGTATATAATATGCAAAGAATGTACATAAAATATACAAAAATGGTATATAAAATAAGGATGAGGAGACAGAGTAAGTAGTACGATATGAGAACAAAGGGGAAGATAAAAGGCAAATTGGGGAGAACCTGTAAACACAAGTATTATTCTTAAAAAATAAAAACAGAAATCCACTGAAGACTTCTCAAAAAGATCTGCTTGATCGTATTGCATTTCAGAAAGACCATTTGACACAGCGTGGAGACAAGATGAAGGCCTGAGGTGGGCAGGACTGGCTACAAATGAGACTAATGTGAAGTTGTGAGCAGAATGAAATTTGAGGGAGTAAGGTCTAAACCACAACAGTGGCAGGGGAGATAGAGACACAGGTGTGCAGAATTGTACTCAGCAGAGAAAGTAGGCAGGGCTCGGTGACTGTCATGAATGAAAGGGAAGAAATCACCTACGTGATTCTGTTGTGTCTGACTTGGACAACCGGGGAATGCCATTTGAGCAGTAGAAAAGAGAAGAGGAAAAGCAGGCCATGGAGAGGGAGGGAGAAGACAAATTTGGTTTTGAACATGTTGGTTTTAAGATGCTCTGTGGGACATCAAAGTGGAGATGTTCCATAGAAAAAGCTGGTATTTTTTTGTGGAGCCATGGAAAATTTTTTCTATGATTTTTCATAGAAAATTTTTTATGATTGTTCAAGATCAGTGTAGATTTTGGAGACACCATATGTAGGTAGTTGTTGAAGCCATTGGAGTGGATGAGATTATCTAGGGAGATTGCAGGATGTCAAGGAACAAGAGCCAAGGAAGGTAGCAGTGCACACTAACACTATGAATGGAGCCCTATAAGGCATTGCATAGTAACTGAAAAGATCAGAAGGGAACCGGAGATGTGCAGTATCACAGAATCCAGGACAGAGTCAAAAAAAGAGAGAGAGAGAGAGAGAGAGAAGGACCAACAGTTCAAAATGACACAAAGAAGACTGGGGGAAAAGGTTTTAACGACTCTATGGTTTCACCACAAAGAGGTCTTTGGTGGCCTTGACAGAGGTTGGCCTTCAGAGGCGAGGGCAGTTGCCAGCTGACAGGGCGTGAGTGAAGGAGCAAATGGTTAGTGAAGACCAGGAGGCAGAGAATGCCACTCACTCTTTCAAGGAGTTTGGTGGGACACTGGAGGAGAATACTGAGGCGACCTCCGGAGGGGAAGAGAGGAAGCTCCATAAATACCTGATGAACGGAAATGTGGAAAACTTCCTATGCTCGGTGGAACTGGGTATGCGGTAAATACAAAAACAAATACCACAACCAGGTTCTCTCTGCGTCCTGCTGAGCACTAGAAAGGCTTTTGTTTCCGTGGCTTTATCAGTGAGAAAGCTCTGTGCTTAGCCTGTTAAAATGAAACCAGAGCGTGGAAGCCCGCGATAGCCCAAACCCTTTGACCTGCAGCTCGCCACCTGAAGACCAGCTGCGCCGGCCTCCCCGGCAGACGCTCCCCACCTGCCCTGTTTGCCCTTGGAGATTTCCACGTCCGGATCAGAAGCACCTAGAATCAGTTGAGACCCCAGGCTCCCTCTCTTCTTATCCAAAATCAGCCAGATCCACTTGAAAAGCTTGCTCCAATAGGAAAAGGACAAAGGGCCAGGGACTGGCTGCGCCGCCGGATCGTGCGCGTCAATCAACATCTTCCCTTTGTGGAGCGGGAGAGGGGATCGGCTTAGGGAAGGGGCTCCCTCCACCAGGGAGGCGATCGTGTCTCCAGGAGACAAGTGTAGGAGCCCAGAGAACGTTGCCAACACAGACGGCTTTAAAAACCCGCATCCCTCTCGCCAAGCCCTTGTCCAGCAGGGAATAAACAAGAAGCCAGCCGGGCCGTCTGCCCCGGGAGGGCAGAGCCCACGGCACCCGCGCTGGTTACAGCCAACGGGGCTCGCGCACTTGCCCGGGCTCCAGCCGCGGCGACCCGAGTCCGGCCCACAGCCCCTCTCTGCAAGTTCTACGGGCTGGTTTTCCAGAAACCAGAGACAAGCTCGGTATTCACAAACCCCAAACCTTCCCTGGCAACGGAAACTCGAAATGAGTTAAGCTCCGCTCTTGCGCGCCTGGAAACTGCTCCCGCTGAGTGCACGGGAACTCAGCCCGACGGGGACCGTTTTTTCCTGCAAAATCTGGAGGCCTTTTGCAAGCAAGGTTTCCCTGCTTGACAGAACAGCAGCTGTGACCCGGGAGCACAAGCAATGGAGGACGGGGAGAGAGGGAGGCGCCTACCGTACCCGATCGGCGTGGCGGGTCATGCTGCGGGCTTCTGGTGCCTGCTGCGGCCCGGGCGCTCGGGCGCGGCCTCGCCTGCGGGCCGGGACCTGGGAGCTGTGCAGGCACGGCCGCTGCGGACTGCTCTTGTTTGCACTGGGCCGTTTGCTTTTGGGATTTCTCCAATGCAGATGTAGTCAGGGGGCCGCTGTCCCGGGGGACAATGATTCCATTGCAAGCTGGCCTTTGACAAGACACACACATGACCTTTGACTAAAAGGGCTTTGGGGAAGGAAAGTGTCCGGAGGCTGAAGACGCGGAGTCCAGGGCAGCCATCCGCATTCCCACCCCCAACAGAGCCTAGTTAATTTTTCATCTTTCAAGGAGAGTCTCCGTGAGGTTTGGTTTGCCTTTTTCTCCTTCATTCTGTAGGATTCAGTCCTTGTTTCCAGAAGGATTTTGCTGCAGAAGTTTCCTGCGGTGGTGTTAATGCATTCCCTGAACACGCATTTCCAAGTTTGACAGGAGCAGCGGTATATTGTTTAAGTTCCCCTAACACTCTAGGGAATAGTACCACCATTTTTTTTTCTAGAACATGCTACAGTTTACAAAAGGCTTTTCACAATCAAGCTGTCATTTGGCCTCCCAAACAATGCCAGGGAGGCTCTCTTCTTACTGCCATTTTACACATAAAGAATTAGAAGCTGGAGAAAAATATTTGCCCAATCACCCAACCAGAAAGTGAAATCTAGGTCCTCTTAATCGTCAGCCAGTCCATATCCATTAATCCACACACCTGGGTAATCAGCATTAAAACAATGAAAAACATGATTAATATAAAGCAACAGTAGCTATAGTTATTTTAATATTTTTTGGTTACAAAATTGAGTGCTAGAAATTATTTTAGCATAATTGATGCTTTGGTTATTGACATCCATAGATATCTTGAATTTTTCGTCTACATTTTTTTAATTGTCTACATTTTTCTCTCTCCCAGCTACTAAAAGGATGTCATGGGAACCAGACTGGCTCAGAGGCATAAGCCAGGTGTTCCCGGGGCTGCTTACCAAAGTCTAACCACTATCAGCACCTTTTTCTCTCCTTTTTCTGGGTCCTTCTGGATGCTGAAACACTAAACCAAAGGGGCAGAGGCTATGAGATGGCAAAAGGAGCACTGGACAAGCAGTCAGCATCGTAGAATTGTAGTGTGATGAGGGGAGCTTCAATGGGGGTCTGCAGAGATACCGTAGACCCGCCTGGGGTGAAAGGTAGAATAACTCTCATTTTTTTTCAGCTTAGAAAAGGGGAAAAGGAGTGGTCTTCACTCAGTTTTGAAGGACTTAGAGGAGTCAGCCAGGAGGAGAAGAGAGAGAAGAACATCACCTATCCAGATAACACCATGGACAAAGTTGTATGCATTCAGCAAACTGAAAATAGTTATGACAGACAGCAGCAGAGGCAGAGAGAGGATATGTCTAGAGAGGAGGGTGTTTGAACCCTGACCAACCTCGTATGTCACTATAGGGAATATGGGCTTCATGCTGCAGTGCTGAATGGGTCAATGTAACTGGCCCTAGGTTATCAGCTCACAAGGAAAGAATGAGGAATCATTCATTGTTCTACAACAAGGAAAAATAGACACATATCAATATAGCTTAGTGGCATTAACTTCATCAGACAGATGCAATTTCTTCTTCCTCCTAGCTACAAAAACATGAGCAATATATTTTACTTCACTAAGCCTCGGTTTTCTCATCAGGAAAATGGGGATTGTGGTATACCCTATAAAGATTAAATGAAATTATGTATTAATAGGTAAAACCCTTAGCCTTTCTTCAGACATAGTCATACTTAATGAAAGGTACCCACTGTTATACTTCAAAGTACTTTAATGTGTGCAGTGCCTACCATGGCATAACGAGGAACTCTCTTTTCTTCCAGTTATCTCATTCTCTTCTTCCCACATACTTCCACATTTGGATTCATTACAGGTTTGTCCCTTGTTCCTCCCACTTCTTATTTTTCAGCTTCTTCTTGAAAATTCGTTCTTTATGCCCCAGTCTAGTCTTTAATATCAATTTCAGTCTTTCTAGAACTGAAGGAGTTCTACCTCAGTTTGTTCATTTCTTTGCCGGACCACTGGCAGGCCTGCCTATGAAAGCCCCACCCAAGATGTAGGTATCTGCTAGAGCTAGACAGCCATCGTTCCCCAACCATGTCCATTGGCACCACCATTGGTGGGTGGTCTGCAGCCTCGGTTGGGTGCTCAGCACCACTTCAATCCTTACAAATGTCCCTGGCCAGCCCCCTGCTCTAATTAGGATATCACTCTTCCCACCTTTCCAGAACCCTGAACCTATCCCACCTGGTTTGCTTCCAGCAGACAGTCTTCTCTCCCCCAACAAAGAATTTGGTCGCTATCAGGAGAGAACTCTGTTTCCTGTCCCTGCATGCACCAGAAACACTTATCTCTATTTTCAGCTCCTCCCCTCCTACTTCTCAGGTGCCTCTCTTCTGTGTGCTGCGGATGCCCTCTCTTCCCATTTCCTCTGGAATGTTCCTTCATCAGCCATGCCCCTTCCTTTCAATTTCTTCTCTGCTGATTTCATTAGTTTATGTATTCAGTAGACATTTATAAAACTGCTATTATATGCCGGTCAGCATCCTCGGATCTGGGCATATAAGGATAAATCAAACACCACAGCCTGTAAACACATGCAAGTCCCTCCCATACAATGAACTCCATTTTTTCTAATTTGGTTGGAATATGTGCCTATTCCTTGCAACAACAACAACAAAACACACACACACACACACACACACGCACATGCTCAGTGCTGTGAACATTCTTCCCATGGATCTTCCAAGAGTGGTTCCTACTCATGGCTTAATGCCACCTTCTCAAAGAGACGTTTCCTGACCAGCCAATCTAGGGAGCCATCCTTCCCTTTGTTATTGGCTATCCGTTAACCTTTGTTTCCTTCGTGTCATTTGTCTCATGTTGTAATGAGTGACTCCTCTGTCTGCTTACTTGCTTATTTTCTGTTGCTCCCACTAGTCTGAACCTTCATGAGAGCTGGGACTCTTACCTTTTATTCAGTGCTGTATTTCCAGTACCCAGGGCATGCCTGTTAGGCTCTCAGAAAACACTGGTTGACTGTACACTCCCAAGTGCTAGGACCATCTTTGCTTTAATCTTTAATTGTTTTTCATCTTCATCATACAGCCTACTGGTTTTTGACTTTGAATACAGTTAGAATTTCCCAAGGAGCTTTGGAAATTCACACAGACTTGTTACCACTGAGGTAAGATCCAGGTAATTCCAAAAGCCATGCTTGAGAACCACAGACCTAGCCCCTGCATGCCACACAGGTGATGCTCAGTAAAGAAGTGGCTGTATGAATGAATAATTCAAGGAATGGAGCCATTTAGCTTCTGCTTATCTTTAATCCTGCTCTCCTTGGGCCCCCCTGCATGATCTGTTATCCAAGCATGCAAAACCCCAAATAAGATTTGCCCTCTTTTTCCAAGCTTTCATGTGCTGCTAGCTCTACCTAAAACACCTATACCCCATCCAAGCTACTTAAGGCACTTCCCTGCTGGACTCCCTGGTAGAATCTGGGTTTGGACTCAACACAGCCTCCTCTGCCAGGCCCTGGGCCTCTTCTCTGCTTGCACATGCCATGCTGATAGTGCAGTCAGGGCTGCTTCCTGCTGCTGCGTCATGATTGCTCTTGACCCAGAGCTCTTTTCTCCTTGTGTCCCCATGTGTAACATCCTAGCCAGGAAAGGCGTGCTACAGATATTGTGGAATGAATTAATAAATTAATGGAGTAACACATAGAATGAATTTTTAAAGAGATACTCTTTTTCATTTTTCAGTGTTTCTGTTTGACATCTTTATTAAGACATAGTAACATAACATACAATTCACCAATTTAGATTATACAATTCAGTGGTTTTTAGGATATTTGCAGAGGTTTATAACCATCACCACAATCAGTTTGAGAACACTTCACCCCTCCAAATCCAAAAAGAAACTCCATACCCACTAACAGTCATTCCCTATGTCCCTCAGCCTCCCAGCTCTAAGTAACCACTAATGAGACAATATTCTGTCTCTAGAATTTTGCCTATTCTGGTCATTTTATATAAATGCAATCATACAATACATGGTCTGTTGTGATTGGCATCAACTCCCAATTTTGAAGACCCACTTGGCCATGAGCATCCCTTTCATATTGAGTGTACATGACACAATATGGACTCAGGTTGAGAACGTGGAGGATGCACTAGGGCAGGGTTTCTCACACAGCAGCCTGATAAATCATCCAAACTCCTGAGCTCCAAGGGGAGAGACAGTAAGAGGGAGAGGGAGAATAGAGAAAGAGGAGATGGATTCCAAGATAGCTCAGCTCTGCCTCACCAGCCTGTCCCAGGTGGGCCATTTGAACAGGACCTCCGGTGCCACCAGGACCCCACATTGAGGGCAAACTTCCTGGCTCAGACTCTAGCCTTGCCACATATTAGCTGTAATTCTCCATGTCCTGCTTCCTCTTCTCTAAAAAGGGAAAACAAGTAACTCCTACTTCATAGGCTCCATATCACAGAATTGTTCTGGAGGGTAGGTGAGAGGATGCACAGGCAAATGCATAGCACAGCACTGGGGACTTTGCAAATGCCTCACCATGTTTACATTTGTTGTTGTCGTTAGACCACCACTGTTTATATATTATTCTCCTACATAAAATTTAATATGAAAAAGGGGCTCTGGTGCTTTAAAAAAATAATGCAAACCATTATTCTAGGAAAACACACACCATGCAGCTACCTACTACCAGATGGTCATCTGTGTTCTGTTTGCTGTGAGCTGGGACAATGGCGAGATTTAGCTGAAACTGAAGAGTAATTAATAGAAAGTGAGGGGAGAGGTGGGTTAGGTTCTTTCCTAGCATAAATTGATGGAAAGAATCTAGTCCTTCCCACCAAATCTTCACCAGTGCCACCAGCAGGCAGAGTCTGTTGGCTTTACAAAACTTGTGTCTTATCTGCACTCCTTCCTACAATTTCTTTATTTTCCTTGTACTATTCTTATGTGCCCGACCTGCATGTGGCACCCTCCGCTAAGCCCTACTTGGGCAACTCTTAAATACATCTGAAATCAGGGCAATCTAGTGGTCAGATACAATCATCTGTCTGCATTAGACACTGTAACAAGTGGCCACAGGATATACTGATTTTACCACCAACTGGTCAGACAATTACCCTGCAAGCTCCAGGGGAGCTTCTCTTGCATGTAAGCATCACGTGTCTATTTTGAGTTATGGAGGTAATTAGAGGACCTT